AGCCCTGAAGATAACTAAATCTGAAATCAAGTGTTTGTGGATTATATGGTGACTGTAGGTTATTGGGCCTTCTTGTTTTCTTGTGCTGGCAACTATTTCAAGCCTTTGAAAATTACGAAGAGGGTATCTGCTTTTTGCTGTCTCCTTCCAGACCTGGGGAGATGATCGCAAAGGGCAGTAACAGTTCTGGTCCCCTTGTTTCTGTGCCCAGAATGAAACTAGTACATGTTGAAACAAACCTTGGATGTCTGGTCCATCTTCTACTTCCATGGAAGGAACTAACTCTTGGCAGTCAGCATACTTCATCGCAACAACACTGTTGCCATTTGCACTTCCCAAAGCACCTGTCTCATTTTAAAAAAAAATGTGTTAGGCACACAGCTATATTAGGGACTGTAACTTCTATGCCAAAGATTTGACCAAAATGTGTTTCCAAATATATTTCTCCTTGAATCCATGTCAACTTTTTGAATATTTCCAAGCTGGAATATAAGTTCATGAGGAAAGGATAAAATTCAAATACTAAAATGTTTTGATAAATTGTGTGCTGCTATGTAAACCTGAGAGTGGCAAGGGGTAGCGCGTCAGGTAAGTTAAAGAGGAGCTGGAGGCTTAAAACTCTTTAATAAATACCTTGTGATCTCCATTCCTTAGGAAAAGACAAAAAAGAAGAATGTCCTGTCCAGGTAGTTAAATGTGTCTCCCCCACCCCCCAATGTCTTACTGTGTATCCTCATGCAAAACTAAAATCTGGCTGCCCTGCCAAGAAATGCATCAACTGTTTCTTCCTGCATTGTAGCATGTTTCAGGGCAGAAATATCAATAGCAGAATGTAGGGATTCCTGTATTTTTAATTCTATTGTGGGGGATTTTGTTTTTCCATGGGATTTTGTAAGTTATTTTAAATTGTATAATGTTTAAGATTGATTGACATATGACTGAAGAGTGTGGCAGAAACCTCTGGCCTCATATGTTTAAGTCTGACATTGGCCTAAGAGCCAAAAAAACCAACACAATGGGGTCAGGTCCAGAAAGTGATGTTTCTACAAACCTAGGCCTGCAGAAGAATCTTAAAACTAGACAAATAATTGGAGAAAGGTAAAAACCTCCCATGGGTGGCCGTGGTGGCTCAGAGGTTAAGACACTGAGTTGCAGACCAGAAGGTCAGTAGCTCGGCAGTTCAAGACCAGAGTGCCGTGTGACGGAGGGCGCTCCCATCTCTGGCCCCAGCTCCTGCCAACCTAGCAGTTCGAAAGAAAGAAATTGCAAGTAGATAAATAGGTACCACTTCAGTGGGAAGGTAACAGCGTTCTGTGCGCCTTGGTGTTTAGTCATGCCGGCCACACGGCCATGGAAACATCTTCGGACAGTACTGGCTCTTTGGCTTTGAAACGGAGATGAGTTCCACTCCCTAGAGTTGGATTTGACTGGCTTTCGAGCAAGGGAACCTTTACCTTTACTAAGCCTACCTTTTGGAATCATGGTGGGACTGGGAGAGTCATCGGCTTTTTTAAATGTATATAATATTTCATTGACTTTATAAACTATATCCTACATTCTAAAGGTAAGGGTACAGGGGAAAACCTATCACTAACTTATGACAAGAATAATTATAAGCTAACACATGCATACATCACTCCTTCAATAATATTGATATTATGATAAACATAGAATTATAAAAGCAGCATTAAGAATCTCTCTACTTACCA